CCCGTCGCCCCGACCTCTCGCCCCGGCTCGGGGGACCGCCCCCCGGGAGTCGGCACCGAGGGCGCGCGCGGGCGAGCGTGGACTCTGCGCCTAGGGCGCAGCCGGCGCCACCCGGCTCGGGTCCTCGCCCGCCTCTCTCGCCCTCGCCGGGGAGTGATCCAGGGTGGCAGCTCCGTTGGCGGAGTCAGACGACGGGCCGAGAACCGGAGGGGCGTGCTCTCACTCCCTCTGAGGCTGGCTGGTCGGTTTGGTGTGTTTGGATAGGTGCGAGGCTCCTTTAGGACTCATGATAAGGCTCTAATCAAGGACCTGAGTATTTGAAGTCTCTTCGGGGTGTGAAGAAATTGACTGTATTCTTTAAAATATCCAAAAGGTAGGTATGTGCGTGTGTGTCTGAGTGTGTGTTAAGTTCTCAGTGCAAGGAAGCCACTGGGCTTTATAATTTGCCCTTTTCCAATGATCTGACCTGACCCTGAACCGAACGGGAGACACACCCACAGAAAGGTAGAGATTTTAGTTGCTCTGCGTATACACACACCCTGCAGAACCTTTTCAGGACACTCTCTCAACAGCAAGGAGCCATTTGGCTATTGCTGGAAAGTGAAGAGATTTTCTAAGTTGGGATCTTTTGCCTATGATGGGAATTTGACTTCTTCCGACTAGTATTCACACAGATTTCCATTATGAACTGTTTTTCCCCCCTTGCACTCTGAAGGACTGCAAACTTGGAACTCGATTCTTTCGTTTTATTCCGAGAATGAATGGGGTCCCAAGACTGAAAAAAAGAACTCTCACCCTTACCATAGATGGTCTCTTACACAGTAATTAGCTTATGTGGGGGCAGGGGGCAGATCTGGGTAGTGAGAGGTAGAGTATTACATCTCCTAGTCTCCTAGCATGACCCAGAATTTGGCACGTGGCAAGTCTACCTTGCAGTAAGTTGAATTCCCAAAGTTGTATTGTGCTGGAGTGGGGCGAAATGTCAGAAAATAAAGACAGCTTATCTTTAGCACATTGAGAAAGAAATCTGTATTGCACTGGCTTATTATCTGGCCTTTTGGAAAATAACATAGTAATCTGCCTCCAAGTCCTTGCAGGTGTTAATAATGGCAGAAGCACCTTCAAGACAGACTGGCAATTCCTAAGTCAAACTCAATTGGAAAATGTGCCTGAGATTCTCATATCTCTGAAGAGTTCCAAAGTGACAAGCAGCAGAGGATATAAAAACCTTCCTAAGATCGTGAGGGCACAATAAAGTGAAAGCTTGCTAGGGTCTTCATTCAGCACTGATGAAATGGGGCAGTGCAGTTTAGTTCCTGCGAAATGGAAAAATCACTTCAACTGATGGTGTCAATTGGCCATGTTAAAACCTGGGGTTCCTGTGAGTTATTGGGCACCGAGCACACAAATGGGGAGGCAAATTTATTAGAGCTTCATTTCTCGCCTATCCATGGCTCTTCGATCCTAATTTAAAATAGTCCGCTGTGAAAAATATTCCAGGAGTCACCAGCCCTTGTTGTGAGATTCCACAGCTGCTGGAGGGAAGCCACAGCTGTAGCACAAGGTAAGTGAAGTTGCTATGTCGGAGAATTGCTGCGTTAATGTGACAGCAGGTCCAGACCCTCTCTCTGGACTTGAAAAGCAACTGCCAGCCGGGCTCCCACGCTTTGGGAGGCCGAGGTGAGTGGATTGCCTGAGCCTGCGGGTTTGAGACCCGCCTGGGCAACGTGGCGAGACCTCATCTCTACAATAAAATAAAAAAATTAGCTGGGTGTAGTGGTGCGCGCCTGTAGTTCCAGCTCCTTGGAAGGCTGAGGCGGAAGGATCGCCGGAGCCCAGCAGGTCGAGGCTGCGGTGGCCGGGAGCGGCCACTGCACTCCAGTCTGGGCGACAGAGTGAGACTCCAACTCAAAAAAAAAAAAAAAAAAAGAAAGAAAGAAAAGCAACTGCCATACGGTGCCATGAGGATAGAATTCTTCCTTTTCTGTGTCTGCCCTCCTGCCCTCTTTTGTCCTATAAATCCCTAATTTCTTAGGCTTTTCTTTCATAACCTTCTCTAGGTCCTAGGAAAATAACATCTATTGGACAGGGCTGTGCATGAGTGGCCATTCAATAAGTATTTGTTGAAATGAATATTTTAGTAGTCTTCTAGAGTTCCATTGTTACCCAGAGTTTTTACGTCGAGTTTTGCATGCATAAAGCATTGTCTCTATGAATTGGAACTGTGACTGAAACAGTTTACCAAGATTATGAAGAAAGTCCTTTTATGACAGAAAGCAGGAATGGCATGCTTAGTTTTTTGGTTTTCCTTCAAAGGTCATGGTCTGTTTTTCTAATTTGTACATTAAAAGCCCACAATATATGTTGAATTTAATTAAATTGAAAATTTTACTTTTAAATCAACTAAATTACTTTTTCACCTTGAAGGTTCTTTATAATTGTGTTTGAGTCTTAGGAATCTTTCCAGATGTCTAGGCTCCTATTTGATTGTGCACCAGATCATATCGATTGAGTAGATTCCATTCCCATGTGTTTGTGTGTAATGTAGTGATCCTAACCCTCCCTGACACCTGCAATCTACAAAAGTCAGCTTTGGTGTAAACAAGCATAAAAGGGAAGTTGCCAAACATAGGGGCTCCACTCCTTAGACAAGAGTGCACCAAGCAAAAGATATATGTATAACTCTGTAGTGAATATAGCCATAAAATTACCCAGTGTCCATCTGTCTGCAGGGATAGTGAACTGGGTTGACAGTAAACCAAGCATAAGAATCTCTGGAAATCTGACTCCTTGTGAGCACCTCAGGAGGCAATCTCTTCTTTGCAGGGGTTTATCTCAAATCAAGGATAAGTGGGGTGAGCTTAGCCTTTCACTTTCAATTCTGTTCTTCCAAAAGCAGCAATGCTCCTGGCATCCCAGATCAAATTCCCCCTTCTCTGCCTTTTGGTATAGGTCAAACTTATCAAGGTCTTCGCCCCTGGGAAAAAGCAGAAACCTAAAGGCAAGCCAGGAAGATAATGAAGAAAAAGATCATTACTTTTCAATGATTTATGTTGCAAATACAGGTAGATCAATCAGCTGTCAGTTATTATTTACTTCTACTTTGAAGCATATTGCATAAATTCTACAAGCTAAGCACTTAAAGATGTTAATAAGTTTGCATAACACTGTTGTGAAATTCAACAGAGATATCTGTTCTTGAGTAGCTTCAAATTTTTTTATAGATTTTAATTAGCACCAGATATGGAGCACACGCTTGCATATTAGTCTTTCAAGGTAAGACTTTTTTTGAAGCCCCTTTTTCCATTTAGTAATATTAAGTTCATAGGTTCATGAAAACGATATTTCTTCTTAAATGATTAGTCTTATAGGTAACTGCATCGGAAAGAATTACTCCAGATTTAGTACAGAGCAGATACAATCAGACGTACATTTAATTTTTAGAGAAAAGTAGAAAGACCTCTTCGTTAATGCTACAAGCCATTGGCATTATGCCTTTGTAGAAAGGAACAGCTCAGACTGAACATGAATTTCATATAAATTTCATAAACACTGTTTTTCTTTCATTCAAATCTTTTTCTCCTCTTTTGTACTTGTTTTGGCTCTATATATCAGTAGGTGGTATCTCATATATGTCACCAAAAGAACATTTTATATTCCTGGTAAACATTTGCATTACTACTATTGCAGATGCAAATATTTTTCTATTCATTTTTTATTGGTGAATCTGAGGTTTCCTTCTAGGATATGTGAAGAATAGAGGTTTATTCGAGTGAGGTGTTTTTGAACTATCTCTAGAGAATCATGTAATCTTTTACCATGCGTTGACATGGTATTCTCTATTAATATTAACATACAGATTTAAAAGTGCCTTAAAAACCTGTAGAAAAAATATAATATGAATTTGATGGTAGATGAAGGTAAGTTGTAGATTTCAATCATGTATTGTTTATGCTTGGTTATGAATGATTGAGAACAACAATTAATATTTAAACCTCTTCTTTAGTTTAACCAGTGCAAACAGGTTTGTGTGACATAATGTTTTTTCTGTTTTCCTCAGTATCGGTGCCCTGATTGGATTAGGAATCGCTGCCCTTGTTTTACTTGCCTTTGTCGTCAGCGTCTGTGTCCTTTGCTATTTATTTCTGTGTACAAAGCCTCAAAGATTAGACACTGGTCTTAAACTTCAACACCTAGAGGCTTCTTCCACTCATGAAGGTAATCCGTTTCCATATTTGTAACCAATTGCCTGTATTCTGTCCAAAAGAATAATCTGTACTTGTAACAGATCATACTAACAATGAGTGCTTCTTAAAATTCAGCTTATTCGGGCTCGGTGGCTCAGCCTGTAATCCCGCGCCTTTGGGAGGCTGAGGTGAGTGGATTGCCTGAGCCCGCGGGTTCGAGACCCGCCTGGGCAGCGAGCCCTCATCTCTACAATAAATCAAAAAATCAGCCGGGCGTGGTAGCGCATGCCTATAATTCTGGCTACTTGGAAGGCTGAGGCGGAAGGATCGCCGGAGCCCAGCAGGTCGAGGCTGCGGTGGCCGGGAGCGGCCACTGCACTCCAGTCTGGGTGACAGAGTGAGACTCCAACTCAAAAAAAAAAACAAAAAAATTCAGCTTATTAGGTATCTTTGTAAAAATTCACATTGAATGAAGCCTTAAATGATAAAATAAGGCCCTAGTGATAAAACTGTGCTCAAGAAAAAAATAGCAGAAGGTTGTAAATGTTCTTATGAAAAGTAAATCATTGGTCCTGTAAATCCACTTTAGAATGTGTATGTCCCTTCTAATTATTTAAGATTTGTCCTCTTGAAATGTTTCAATTTTGTGTTTGGATGGAGCCAATGAAGTCAAATAAATAGAAGAACAAAATATCTGATAATTGATTCTTAGTGTTGCATTGCTCTAGATTGGTTAGTCAGTGGTCTGTTAAGAATTTACATGTGTGTCTACTGTGTGCAGAAGTCAGAGAAGGTGTATAAAATAATTCAGAGGCATATAAAAGAAATAGAAAAAGTAAATAGAAGACAGTCTATGTTCTTTGTTGTTGAATAGATTGAAAACTAGTTAAAATATAGGTGGGCTGGGCTCGGTGGCTCACCCTGTAATCCTAGCACTTTGGGAGGCTGAGATGAGTGGATTGCCTGAGCCTGTGAGTTTGAGACCAGCCTGGACAACTTGGCAAGACCTCATCTCTACAATAAATAAAAAAATTAGCCGGATATGGTAGTGTGTGCCTGTAGTTCTGGCTGAGGCAGAATGATCGCCGGAGTCCAGCAGGTCGATACTGGGGTGGCTGTGAGTGTGCCACTGCACTCCAGCCTGGGCAACGGATTGAGACTCCAACTCAAAAAAAAAAAAAAAAAAAGAATAGGGATATGTGCTTGTGTGTGTGTAGTGTGACTATAAAGTAGAAATAAATTTTTATGCATGGTTTGTAGAACCATATTATTATCCCATTATTATCTCACTTATAAAGTACTATACAAATGCTATTTGTTATCATTATGAAACTCAGTCCGAAGGAATTGTTAAACTTGTTGTGAATATAAATTTCTATTAGTATATTAAAAACACTGATCATAAATTTTACTTTACGATACATATATAAATTTAGAATATATATTATAGAACATATATAGAATTTGTATATAGGATATACAAACTTAAATATGAATTTAGAAGATATATAGAGGACATGTATATATTTAGAATGGCACACAAGTGCTCACTGTTTTCCATTTATAAAGAAAACCTTTATTTTAAAAAACTGAGAAAAGACCTTGCCCATGTGCTCTATTTTAGCTGGCTCCTGAAACCTGTCATTTTGTGGAATACCTGCTCTGTGACTTTATCAAATACATCACCACCACCTGATTGCCTTAGCTCTAGTTTTCTTCTGTAGAGGAGACCTCACAGAGGGTGTCCAGTGTCACAGAATAAAAGGCAAGATCTCTTTTACACTCTTCCTGAAGCACTGTCTGGAGATTGCATGACCAAATAGATAAGTTGTTAGCCTGAGTTCAGTCCTAATGCTTTAGACCCAGTTTCTCCACCCGAAGTGGATCTGTGGTTATAAAATAATCAGACTGTAGTATCAGTTTGTGTCTCAGTCGCTTCGATAATTTAAACTTGCAGCGCTTAAATTTTATTGTGCCTAGGAATCACCTAGGGAGGTTGCTAAAAACACGAACTCCAGGCTCTGCATTTTTGGACAACTAGCTCTTCTTTCTACTTCTGCCCTTGCTCCTCTGGGGTCTCCTCTCCGCTGAACAGCCAGAGTAAGCCTGTTCAAACTCAAGTCAGGTCACCTCACTCCTCTGCTCAAAACCCTAATCGCTTCCCACCTCTCCCACCTCTCTCAGTGGAGAAAAGTCTTTACTGTGATCTTCCAGGACTTTTGTGGTCTACCCTCTTTGCCCTTATTTCTCTCTTTCCTTCATGCCCACCCCCAGTGGCCCCTTTGCTATTTCTTGGAATTCCTGTTGCAGTTGCAAGCCCTTTACACTTGGTGCTTTTATTGTCTAGGATGGTCTTTCCTCAGACAGCTGCGTGACTTTCACTTTCTCTGAATCTATACTCTAAAGTTGCCTTCCCGGGAGTTTTTTCCTGGTCACCCATTCACATTTCCAAGCCCCCTTTAATATTTCCTATTTCCTTCCTGTTTTGTTTTTCTCCTTAGCATTTGTCACTATCATACTGTATATTTTACTTATCTGTTGTCTAAATTTTTCACTCCAGCTAGAAACTAAGTTCCAGGAAATTAGGAATTTTTGTCTTGTATGCTCACTCCTGTAACCTGGTGCCTAGAGCACTTAGCAGATATTCCGTGAATGAATTAAATGCAGTAACACTGCATCTCTACTGTAGGTGATCAAAGGAGCGTATTTTGATAAACACTAAGTATGGTCATCATTACAGTAATCAAACATTCATTGAGTGCCTCCTCTCCACAATGCATTGTGCTAAATAAAAATTGGTTACTTTTTCCTGATTTAGTGCGGGGACTGCTCTACAATTTTATTTCATATTGACTCTGAGAACCTAGCAACAGAATTAGTTGGTTTGTTGATTCCAGTCTTGTAGTCTTTTTTCTGTTTAGCTAAGGAGGTCCATTAATGCACTTCCTAAATAGTTAAATGAGGCTGCTTTCTTGCAATGAAATATCCCCACTGTGCCCCTTTCAAAAATATATTTATCAAGTTGGCAAATTAATTCAATCAATACATCTATCCTTAGTGCTTGCTATTGCTAAGGCAGGATTTTATGTGATCAGTGTCCTCTTGCTGCTTTCAAATGAGGTGACTTTGGATCCTTGGGTTGATTTTACATAGTGGAGAGTCCAAAACAAAACATGTAATCTAAATGTTAATAGAATAAGAAGAGATAATGGTTCACATTTGAGAGCAACCTTTTGAAGTGATATTCAAACATTGCTGTGCCCTTTGTTAAATATACTTATTCCATTCTAATGATTCTCCTTCCTAGTAAATGAATGCCAGTGTTCTAGCTATTGAGAAAACAAGTCTAGGGCTTTATTGCATTTAAAGAGTGTCTGAAAGATTAGGAACATAGACCGGGCTCGGTGGCTCAGCCTGTCGGTGGCTCAGCCTGTAATCCCAGCACTTTGGGAGGCTGAGTCAAGTGGATTGCCAGAGCCCGCTGGTTCAAGACCAGTCCAGGCAACTTGGAGAGACTTCGTCTCTACAATAAAATAAAAAATAGCTGGGCATGGTAGCACGCACCTGTAGTTCCAGTTACTTGGAAGGCTGAGGCAGAAGGATCGCCGGAGCCCAGCAGGTCGACGCGGGGGTGGCCATGAGCGTGCATGCCACTGCACTCCAGCCTGGGCGAAGGAGTGAGACTCCAACACACACACACACAAAAAAGATTAGGAACATAATAAAATGTTTGCATACAAAATCAGGCAAGTAAACATAGTATGAGAAGAAAGTTGGTTTCACCAGTTATAGTCCTTTTCTTTCAAAACGATCTGATCTTGCAGTGACTCACAATTGTAATCCCAGCATTTTGGGAGGCCAGGAGTTCGAGACCAGCCTGGACAACATAGAAAGACCTCGTCTCTATAAAAAATGAAAAAAATTAGCCAGGTGTGTGATAGTGTGTGCCTGTAGTCCCAGCTACTCGAGAAGCTGAGGTGGGAGGATCACTTGAGCCCAGGAATTTGAGGCTGTAGTGAGCCAGGATTGTGTCACTGCACTACAGCCCGGGCAACAGAGTAAGACCTGACTCAAAAATCGAAAACAAGAACAAAAGTCAACCTTTCATTATTTCAGATTAATTTTTACAGTTGAAACTCTTTTCATTATAGGCAATATGAATGTCATAAATGGAAATGTGTTCTTAAGTACATACAACACAGATTTAGGGCACTGGACTCACTTTCCTCTATAAATGACAATACTCTACTTCTAAAATAGTCTTATCTTAGACTATTTTTTCTCAAGATTTTCCTTAGCGTGTCTTTATTCTATTGGATTTCACTTTTTAAAAGGTATACAATTTAAGGCTTCAACATTTTGAATTGCTCTTGCAGAAAGCAGGTTTCTGGTAATGACTGTAGACTTTAATTGGACTACCTCCAGGGCTCATTCTATACAGAGGACCTATTGTTAAGCAATTGAGTGGCCTTTAAATTGTGTTTCATCACGATTTTCTTCTTTTTAAAACTTTTGTGTTTTGTTTATGCACGTTTCCAATTCCAGTGTTTAAAATAATATACTGCTTGTAAATTGTTCTGTATGGGACATACAGTTCCTGAGCAAAAGATGGCTATAAGTAAACATTCTGAGGGTGAGGGCTCATTTAGCAGGTTGTGAAAGAAATAACGGCTAATGGAACATAAATTAAGGGAGTGAATGTTTTAGATCCTTGCTTCTCAAATTTCTCTATTGGGGAATCCTGAAAGGTATAAAGTTATTCCTCAGTGTCCATGGGGGATTGATTCCAGGGCCTACTGCAGACACCAGAATCCTTGAATGTTCAAGTCCCTGATATAAAATGGCACAGTATTTGCATGTAACCTTTGCACATCCTTCCTGTATACCTTAAGTCATCTCCACTTATAATATCTAATACAATGTAAATAGTCGTTATTCTGTATTATTTAGGGAATAATGACAAGGAGAAAAAGTCTGTATATATTCAGCACCGATGACTTTTTCTCCCTAACATTTTGTATCTGCAGCTGA